TTATTAATGTGATATATTTCTTATGAATAAGATCTTTTATTTCTATGTTTTTTGCGTTTTCTTATAATCTGTTTAACTCTTCTAAAGAAATGTTTTAGAAGTCCAATTTCTTTTCCTATATGAACACACTAAGATCAGTGATAAGGCAAATATAAAATAAAGAAATTTAAAACATTTGAAACAAATGGTGACTTTATGATGCCTTCACCTCTATGACTAAAAATTACCCACCCATCAGAAGTCTATGTACAGGGTGGGGCAAAGTAGATTTGTAGTTGTGAGTGTGCAAAGCACAGAGTTTATTCTTGTATTATTATTAATTATTGTATTATTTTCCATATGAATAACTGTAGGTCTACTTTTGCCCCACCCTGCATTAAAGTTTTTACGTGGTTAGATTTTATGTTCTCCTTATATCTTTGTTCATTCTCTTTCCTGGATTTCTTTGTATCTAAAATTTAAAGAGAGCTGTGTCTTCTATAATCTGCCTAATTTTATCCATGCCTCAGACTGCACTTATCACTTCGATGTTTATGTCCGTCAGAAATTTTTCTTTGACTCAGACTTCTCTTTGAGGATCCCTCTATTTTCAACCGTCTCCTGCTCATCTCTACTCAAATGTCATCATAGCAGCTGAGAAACCACCTTTCTCCTCAAATCTTTTTCTTCACAGGCTCTTTATCTTACATATCTCTGAATCCCACATATGACTAAGTCCTTTCCATTCTGCCACTGAAACATTACTCAATTCTGCCTCTGTGCATCTCCTCCAAACAACTGCCCTGGGTTTGTGTAACATCTACTCTACTTCAGCCTTTACCAAGTTATCAAAGTTACTTTCCTAAGATACCGATATAAAATATTGCCCCTGTATTCAAAACCACACAGAGATACATAAATATATGTTTCTATTTCAGAGTTGTGGCAATCTATAACCAATATCTTTTTTTATTGTTAAATTCTTACTGTATATTTCTTCTCAACTTATATGTTATTCACAAACATTTTCTTAACTAGTGGCCCGGTGCATGAAATTTGTGCACTTGGGAGGTCTCTCAGCCAGGCCTGCACCATCTTGCAGTCCTGGAGGTCTTGGGGGGTGTCCTACTGACATCTCACAGAGAAAGAGACTAAGCCAGCAGTTGGACATCCTTAACACCGCAGCAAAGGTGGGAGAGGCTCCCACCACTGCCGCTGTTCTCTCCAGCTTGAGCCCAGCTCAGGGCTTCTGGCTGAGCGGCACTCCCCCTGCGAGAGAGCACTGACCACCAGGGAGCAGCTCCTGTATTGAGCATCTGCCCCCTGGTGGTCTGTGCACATCATAGCGACTGGTTGTTCCGCTGTTTGGTTGATTTGCATATTAGCCTTTTACTATATAGGATGATCCCAGTAGGATCTAATTACCATATCCTATTTATGGCAATAATTATTTTGATCATATTTCTATTTTGGAGTATTATTGCATTTGTAATATAGGTATTACATGTATGTAGATATTTGTCTTATAGTTTGCCTTGTATATATAATATTTAAAAGATGAAGGAATTTTTAATGGACTATAATGTAATTTTCATAGACTGGAAAGATAATAAAATAAATAAGCTTTTAAAGGATACTAGGGAAATTATATTAACAATCAGTATATACTTTTTAATCTGAGTAAAATTGCTTCATTTCACTTCAGTCATTTTTATATTCGTTATAAAATTAATATACAGCAGAAAAAGACCAAGTGGGAAAAGTGTGGATATTTTGCTTTATGTGAATTAAGCACATCACTTAATTGATTTGATTTAATAATGCATAATTTAAATCAGCTTGTTAGATAGTCATTTAAAATTCAAATAATGGAAACAGTCAACATGCTTACTTTAACAGATGGAGACCTGCTACAGATATCTTTTACTAGAGTAGATGGCAGCTTCATAACTCGATGGAAAAGATTTTGCAAAGAAAGTATTTTGCCTTCATATGACTGACCTGAGCTCCTTTAACATGCCAAGTATTACTTATATTGATGAAACAGTATTACTGCCTTTTTTATGGATAGTTTTCTGGGATATGTGCAGGATTTTTTTTTGGCTAAACACTGCCCTCAAAAAATGCCTTCTAAGAAGGAGGGTGATCAAATGTTAGAGTTCAGAAGTCCCTGCATAAAATTAGGTCTTGGTTTTTCTCACCTAGTTGCCATGTGATCTTGGGAAAGTTACTTAAGATTTTTTAATCATATAGCCTTACTGTTTTATTTCTAAAATTGAGCTAGTGCTATACTATTATAGTAACAATTAAATGGAAACATATATGCAAGTCACTTTGCATAGTGCATGACACATAGTAATGTATGAGTCGATATCATTGTCACTCTGAGCATATCAAATGTGTAGGAAGTTCTGGTATCTCACAAACCATCTATTTTACAACAATAAAATAGCAAATGATTTATATTTGAATGATACAAATATATATACTTTTTATTTTCATCTCAAACAGATTTATAGAAAAATGAATGTAATGGGTGTTTAACAATGTCACATATGTAAATGTACACACAAAAATCCCAAAATATGATTAGTAAATTTTAAGAAATTATCTTGTGCTTTTTAAGCAATGAAAAATGTAACTCATGACGTTCCTCTAAAGGAAGATATTTTTTTCAGCGTAATTGCTTAACAGGCATGAACAAATTTAGCTAGTTATTATTTATGGATAGAATATATGTTACCTTGACTTTTACATTCAAAAGGCCATTATTTCAGTTTGTAATTTTATGTCATATATGCAGTTTAATTGCTCCCCGTGAGAAATATTCCTGCAAAAAGAACATTGGCTTCTAAAGAGATGGCTTTCTGTTTATAAATGGATTCTGTCTTTTCCCCTGAAGGATGTAATTCAAAATGACAGCACAGTAAAAAGGGCTTGACACAAAGGCATGTAACATTTCAAGGGGATTAATTTTTTATTCATGCAAAATGTGAATGCTCCTTTTCTTCTCATGATTTAAAAATATCTCTCACCTGTTAAAGTTCAGACTATAGTTCAAATATGCATGTAACACAAGCAGAAAATAATTGATCACAGGGATCTACTTGGTATATTTCTTCTGCCCGCTCTTTTCTCTGTTTATGGTGACAACTCAACATATGTCATGCGACTCTTTTGCAGCTGTGTTCTAACGAACGGTTTTAGAGCAACAGGTAAAAGAAAGTAACAACTTTTTGATTTTCACATTAAGTCAAGTTAGAAGGAATGCAACGTTCCAACAGGCCTACGGCTTCATCCAGATTTCCTTTCATGAGGTAAGATTTGGAAGTGACCTTCCTGATTCAGTGGGGCCTTTGCACTCCATCCTGGTTTCCTGAGCATACTAGTTCCTCTCCCCTGGAGACATTTTCATTTCCCTGCACCCATGGCCTTCCCAGACTTGGACAAACCGCCCTCCATCCATACCTGCGAGAGCTCTATCCTTTCATTGGCTGAGTTTTATATTCCTCATCTGAAAAAAGCTCCACTATCCTCCTTGTGAGTAAGAATACTGACACTCTCTAAAGACGTCTTCTCTTCCCTATACTCTAGACTGAACATATTTTATATGCACAAAACCCAAAAGAGGACCCAGGTTCCCAATGCTACACTGTATCAAAAGCAGAGTAATCTCTCAAACCATTTTCCTTAATTAGCTATTACAGCTGGTCACATATATGCAGTAGGAAAAAACAACAGCCGTGCTTGCTGGGTTGGGAACATATTCTTTATTATTCTCGTGTGCTAGATAATCAGATGCATATTTCTTTCTCCTTTTTAACATTAATTTATATTTTTTTCTGTTTCCCTTAATAGCAAAGTAAGGGAACGTATTGCTCTAAGACGCTCTGTGTTGTTAACCACAACAAATGCTATCCAGCCATTTTTCATATAGATGTTGCATTTGCTAAAGTGTGATGATTTCTAATTGCCACTCATAACATTGGCAAGTAAAATTTATGGTCACTGAGTAAATATATTTCCATAAAAATGGATAATAAATTTAAGGAAAAATGACAAAGTAGTAAAATATGGAAAACAACATAGCTGAAGGAATAAAATGCCCATTTCATTAAGATTCTCAGTGTTACATAACTTCATTAGATGAACTTAAACTCTGCTTCTGGAATCAGAAGAAGAGAGTCATTTTCTGTTTTTTTTTGTTGTTTTTTTTTAAAACTGTTTCTGCAAATGAGTACCTAGCAATTTGCTTGAATTTCTTATTTTACCAGAAACAGAAACATCTAGTTTCTGTATGTGAAGTCCCAGGAACACTGAACTAATCCTTGAAAAAGTATCAGAAATCGAACAGGTACTGATGGCTGTTAAATGTAACACTGCAAAAGAAAACTAGATAAAACACAAGTGAGAGGTATTCCTTTTCAATGAGAAACTGAGTAACAGAGAAGATATATGTGTGAATCATTCTATTATCATTGAAACAATAGCAATGTTTACCTATTGCAAAATCAAAATAAAATAGAATTAAAGTAATGTAAATAGCATCACTTTAATCTCTCTGATAAAAAAAAAGTATATGAGGATGACTCAACACATAATCGCTAAAAAGAAGGCAGAAAATCCTTATGGTAATTAAATGATATAGCAAATAACATGGTGGCATATATGTGAAATATGTCTTAAATTACATTGCAATTGTCAAGTGTATTACCTTTCAATTAATGAATTAGAGCAACATCCCAATCTATTGTGAATATTTCACTTTCACAGAAATTGATAGCATAAGATTTAGGTGTTCAAGTTTTGACTCGTTTATGTTATTTTCTATTAAAGTCACACTGTGCATGAGTCTAATGGAAAACTGAAAATCTGAAGTCATTTAATTTTTATCCATTGCTCTATGCTTATCAAAGACCAAAAGTATCTGAAAAACTATTGCAATCCCGGTAATATTGGTTGAAATGTAAGAGCATCTTTCAAAAGCTGCACTGATTTAGACTTAACAGGAAAGAACATACTTTTGGGGAATCGAGGTGGATTGTCATTGACATCGGTGAGGGTGATGTTGACTATGGTCGTTCCGGCTAGCCCTCCCAGTTGTCCGCCCATGTCCTTGGCTTGGATGAGGACTTGGTATTGTTCTTTGACCTCCCTGTCCATGTTTGGCAAAGCTGTTCTAATAACACCTTAAGGGAAAAAAATAACAAAAGATAAATATCACAAGTTGTAGTTTCCAAAAGAAAATAGTCCACAACAAGAAAATGATTCTACCTAGATTCACTAGCAAGGAGACAACAACAAAAATTATGTGTCTTTTAAAAATTGAAACACCCAAAGTGTGGTTAGGACATAAACATGTTATGGTGACAGCCATATAATGAAATGTGTGGCACTGTGGAATGTGGCTGAAGAATAATGCGTCAGCTGTAAAAGGTGGTCATTTATTTGTCAACCAGGTCGGTCGTTATTTATACAGAATGATCCTGTCTTTAAAAGAGAATGAAAATGTTCCATTACAGATGAATATACTAAAAACATTAAGCGATTACACTGAGTGAGAGATTTCTAAAGATGACCATTTTCTTCTTCATTCTTAATTTCTTTAGGATAAATCCATTACTATTTTAAACACACTAAGTAAACCCTTCGTATATTTTATTTTGTCTTTAGAGATTCCTCTTAATTACTTTAGCCACTAGTTTTTTTTACTTAAATCTTATGAAACTTTGTCAATACAGAGACCTTGTCTCTCTTATCACCAAGTTACTTCCCATTTAGGATAGTGCCTGCCATTTAGAAGAAATTCAGTTAGAATAACTGACTAGTTGAAAGATTGGCTGAATAAATGAATGAATCTATAAATAACTAAATTTATGATCATGAATCATATAGTATATATGCATATATACATATCCTATTTTTCCACTCTGTGCCCAAGTGTAGAATTAATTTCTATCTCTATTTATTCATAGTGAAATAACTAAAACCTTCTGGATTTGTTGAAAAATAACATTATAAATAAATTTTATGCTAAATTCCAATCTATAGCCAATAGTTTTAGCAAAAGATTGCAGAGGATTTGTCTTAAACCCATGTGTCTTTGATAGTGTTGTTCCTTAAATAAAGTAGCACATATGAGGACAAAGATAATATCAACTCTCAGACACAGACACAAAATACAACCTCTGAATCATAAGCTGAATATCAATCCCCATTTAATCTATTCTTTCCACTATCAATTTACCAAATCTTGTTTTGCTGCTAATTCAAATTTAACTACAATCTAAGATTTCTTCTAACCCTTGCCAGGAAATAGTTGCAAAAAAGGCAAGCTCCATTTTTTGCTACTGCTGCTTTATTCATGCATTGGCACTGACTTTTATTCCAATCTGTTTTTCCTCTCTTCATCTCAGTTTCCTGTTTCATCCCCAAGTCTCTTAACTAAAAGTTTTCACCTCTGCACCTCAATGGCCTATCCTACATGCCTTAAGCTAGCGGTTCTCAACTTGTAGCAACGAAAATAATTTTATGGTTGGGTCACAACATGAGGAACTGTATTTAAAGGGCCAGAAGGTTGAGAACCACTGCCTTAAGCTATATGACTTCTGCCTGCATTATGATGCTTATATTTTTAGATAAATGCCTGGGTTTTAATTCATATGCATGTTGTGTTGTCCTGTTGAGGACCAGATCTATCTTTACTCAGTTCATTTTCAATATGAAAAATAATGAATAGATTTTTTTGTGGGCCCTAAAAATGTCACTTTTCTTTTCTGACGTAAGAAAAAAAATCAAAACATTTTCTTTGATTATTTCATTTTTTCCCCCCTGACTTTACAAGAAGTTAGAACATTTCCGTGGGCCCCTCAAAGAGTCCTGGGTCACAGGCGCGGCCGCCCTCAGCGTGCTGACACATGGGTGGCCCCGTGCACAGCTGGGGAGAGCCCTCGGGAGACAAGGGTCTGCCGTCCTCTGTCAGAACCCCATGCCAGGGCTGAGCCTGCCAGGCTAAGCCGCACCCTCACCCGCAGGGTTGGGCCTCTGGGCGCCCTCTTACCCCAGCCCGAGGT